TGGATCCAAACTTCCCTGATCATGTCTACAAATTGAGGAAAGCTTTATATGGCCTGAAACAAGCTCCTAGAGCATGGTATGACAGGTTGACAAAATTCCTCTCTGACAAAGGATACAGGAAATGAGGCTTGGATAAAACTCTTTTTGTCAAAAATGAAGGAGGAAAGATAATGGTAGCTCAAATCTATGTTGATGACATAGTGTTTGGGGGAATGTCGGATAAAATGGTTAAACATTTTGCTGACCAGATGCAAGTTGAATTTGAAATGAGCCTCATGGGAGAATTGACCTACTTTCTTGGACTGCAAGTCACACAGATGGAAGACTCAATTTTTCTGTCTCAAAGCAAGTATGCAAAGAACATTGTCAAGAAGTTTGGGATGGAGAATGCTAGTCACAAAAGGACTCCTGCACCTACTCACTTAAAGCTGTCCAAAGATTCAAGTGTGGTTAAGGTGGACCAAAGCTTGTACAGAAGCATGATAGAAAGTCTGCTATACTTAACAGCCAGCAGACCTGACATTGCTTTTGCAGTTGGAGTATGTGCTAGATACCAGGCTGAACCCAAAGTAAGTCATATCAACCAAGTGAAGAGAATTCTGAAGTATGTGAGTGGAACCTACAACTATGGCTTGTTGTACTCTCATGGATGTGAACCAACTCTGATTGGTTACTGTGATGCTGATTGGGCTGGAAGTGCTGATGATAGAAAGAGCACCTCTGGAGGATGTTTCTTCTTAGGAAATAATCTTGTCTCCTAGTTCAGCAAGAAACATAACTGTGTGTCTCTATCTACTGCTGAAGCTGAATACATAGCAGCTGGTAGTAGCTGTTCTCAAATGATCTGGATGAAACAGATGCTTACTGAGTATAATGTCACACAAGATGTTATGACATTGTACTGTGACAATCTGAGCACTATAAACATTTCCAAGAATCCTATTCAACATAGCAGGACCAAGCATATTGACATTAGACATCACTTCATCAGAGATCTTGTAGAGGAGAAGACGGTTAAACTGGAACATGTTGCCACTGAACTACAACTGGCTGACATTTTTACCAAGCCACTTGATGCAAATCAATTTGAAAATTTGAGGGGCAAGCTGGGTATTTGCCAACATGAAGAAATGTAGCAATTAATTTTGCTTAAAACAAGGGATGAGAGAGATATTTTAGTTAAGTCTACTCTGATTGGGCTAATCATTTACTTCTTTATTTCTTTCCAAAATTTTAAGAAGTTGAATAGACATTCATATATCTCCCTCCTCTCGCGTTTCTGCAACAATCTTCAATCTCTCAAACGAAGACTTCACTATTACTGTTACCTGTTTTATAAAACACTCAAAATGTCTCAACTATCCATGTCATCATCCTCTTCAAAGGAGACTGCTTCTTCCGCATCCTCTGATCGAGAACCTAGGGCAACCACAAACTGCATGGATTCTGATGTTCTAGAGATAACTCCTCTTCGTGAACTGGCAGCTGACCCCACTAAGGTCAATAAGCTGCGAATCAGACATGCAAGAAGGTCACAAGCTTCTTCATCTGGTAAACCCTCTCAACCATCATCTTCTGTTCCTCCAGAAATAACAAATAGGGAAGGTTCAGTTTATGTTCATCAAGCTATAGCTAGACTTGTCACTAGGATTCTAAATGAGAATCACTCTGTACCTGGAATTTCTGTACCTTTGAATCAAGAATCTGCTAGTCCAAATGTTGAAATGAATCCAGATGTCACTCAGAATGTTGAGACACCGGATGACAACATTAGGAAATATCCTGAAAATCATGATGATCACCAGAACCCTACTGAGAAGGATGTTGAACCCCCGGTTATTGATGTTGATGAAGAATACTCTGACAATGACTTAATTTCCAATATCAACCCTAGCATAGCTAGAAGGATGATGAACAGAAAAGGAAAGCAGGATGCTGCCAAAAGCCTCTCCAAAGAGAAGACTGTTGATGTTGTTCATAAGAAAACCAGGTCTGAGAACAAGACTGGAGTAGAAACTGTGAAGGCTGGATTGTCAAAAGAAAAAGGGAAGGTGAAAACTCGAGTACCTGCTGGTAGTCTCTCAAAACCTTTAAGACAACCAATAGCAAAGAAAAGGAAGGAGCCTGAACCCTCTGAATCTGATGAGGAATCAGAATTTGAATTTGATGTTGAAGTCATTCCTCTCAAAAGGAAACCCTCTTCAAGCAAAATGCCTAAAGTCCCTGAAGTCGCCACTGACAACATCTCCTTTCACCATCCTGAGAATGCAAACAGGTGGAAGTATGTATGTTTGAAAAGGATCGCCTTAGAAAGAGAACTGAACAACAGTGACATGGATTGTAAGGAGATGATGGATCTAATCAAAACTGCTGGTCTAATAAATACTGTGGTAAAGTTTACCAACTGCTATGAAGTTCTTGTCAAAGAATTCATAGTGAATTTATCTGATGGTGTGCTGATGGAAAGTCAGCTGATTTTAATTGTGTATATGTGAGAGGAAGGAAGGTAAATTTCTCTCCCTCTGAAATAAACAAATTCCTAGGAAGACCTGATGATGCTTGCCCTGAGCTAGAGGTTACTGACAACCAAGTGTGCCAAACCATTACTGCAAATCAAGTAAAGAGATGGCCCTTAAGAGGGAAGCTGAATGCAAGCAAGCTGAGCATGAAATTTGCCATTCTGCACAAAATTGGTGCAGCTAACTGGGTTCCCACCAACCATAAATCAACCATCTCCACAGGCTTGGGAAGATTTATTTATGCTGTTGGAACCAGGACAAACTTTGACTATGGCAAGTATATCTTTGATCAAACATTAAAACATGCTGGAAGTTGTGCTATTAAAGGCCCTATTGCCTTTCCCTCTCTCCTATGTGGTATAGTCCTTGCTCAGTATCCTGACATTCTAGTTGAAAAAGATATTGTATGCAAAAGAGCTCCTGCTCTTGGGTTGCACTATAATTTATTTCAGGGAACACATGTTCCTGACATTGTCATGACATCAGCTGAGATATCAACTGTCAAGTCTCATTCTAAGAAAACTAATGTTATAGTTGTGCTGAAGGAAACCTGCAAAGAGCTTGATACAAGGAAAATGACTCTTGAGGACCTGATTGCTAGACTAGAACAGGAGGAGATTGAAGGACAAAGAAGGGAAGAGAATGCTGCTAAAGACCAGCTTAATGCTGAAGATAGTGCCTCCTCTGAAGATGACAGTGCTTGAAGATCAGTGCAGTTGAAAAGTTTGCTGCTGGTACCTGATGCTGCAAATGACTTTTAATTTTTTCTGTGTTTTTATTATTCCTTTTGGATGACTGTATAACCTAAAAGTATAATTATCTTTGGCCTATTTATGGCTAAAGAGGGGGAAAAGATTTTGTGATAATTTTGGTAGAATTAGACTTGGTAGATATTATTAATTCTGCTGCTTTCTAATCTCTGATTGTTTAGGGGTTTTAGCCAAAAATTTGCCAAAGGGGAGTTTGTAAGTGTTTGGTTGTTGGCATGTTTTTTGGTAAAACCAGTTGTGTGAATGTCATGACTGATGTCATAATATTCTGGAATACAAGGTACATTCTGCAGAAAAAGAATGTCATACAGGAGCTGCTCAATATGAGTGTTTAGCTGATCATTATGCAATGATCATATTTATTGCATTCTACCAAAATCAGTAAACAAGATTCTTGTTATCATAATCAATGTTAAGCCATCTTGTATTGAACTAACATTTGTGCAGATTTATTATTTCTGAGAAGTTTCAGGAATCTGGTTTATTCAGTCCAGATCAGATTCTCACGTGGACTTAGGTTAACCTTGCTTAACCCAATCTGGTTGTTAAAGTCCTATGACCAAGTCTTGAGGTTAATCCTAATTAACCCTATCTATTTTCGTGGAAGCCCCAACTGAAGAATAGCTGCCTATATATTCCTCATGAAGACTGTTGGTGAAAGACACTTTTTACAGAAGATCGATAAGGGACTGTATAGTTGTAACTACTGTAATCCAAGCAATTATCATTGTGATAAGTGACTTGGAGTAGGATTTGATTGTAAGGGTTGTGTATCACTCAAAGCTTTGAAGCACGAGTGTTTGTGTTACTTGATTAAAGCTTTGAAGCAAAGTCAAGTTAGGGTTGTGTATCACTCAAAGCTTTGAAGCACGAGTGTTTGTGTTACTTGATTAAAAGCTGTGAAGCAAAATCAAGTGTATGTTCTGAAGAGTGTCTTCATAATTTCATTAGTCAATTGTTTAGTATCACTGCTGTGATTGAGGGGGAGTGAGTAGGAACTCAGGTTTAAGTTGAACTTAGATTGAAGTTGCATTGGGTAGGTCTTAAGTGAAGGAGATAAACTGGTTGGTTTATTCTTGAATTAATATCTTTTATAGTGAATTTCCTCCCTGGCTTGGTAGTCTCCAAAGTAGGTGTTGTTACACAGTGAACTGGGTAAACAATTGATTGTGTTCTTTACTGCTTTTAGATTTACTGTCTTGAAGAGTGTCAAATACGGTGTCATAACATTCACTGTGACATTAAGTATCTGCTACCAGAATTTCAGTATAGTTTAGTGGAATTATCATAAATAAAATTAGGTAATTGATGTATTTTATTTATATAAATCACATATTACAATCATAATTTTTTAATTTATAATTAGGACCGAAACATGTATTTTGCACTAATGTCTTTTGTTCATCATTTAAATAGAAAAAGTATTAATAAGAAACCTAAAACCTTATAATTTAAAGGTGTCGGATGCTAATAATTGTGTTGAAATATCATTTTTCAATTTTCAATGCATATAATATAAAGAGTATAAGTTGCACTATGGTAGAAGAGAGTGAAATAATATAGCCATAATAGACAATGAATTACTAGTTATGAAATTGTGAACATATATAATAAGACTCTCCATTTGAAAAGCCAATAAAGATCAGAGAAGCACACAGAACAAGAAGGTCCAACATTATGCATGAGGAAGTAAATCAAATATCAAAAACTATCATTCAGAATCAGAATCACTTTCCACATCCAAGTAACTTTTATCGATCCTGTTCATAGCAGATTCAACAATGATCTCAAGTTCCTTCAGAAGGTCTACAAACACAGACGTATCTTCCTGCTGGTTGTCATCAATCAAGCTCTTTCCCTTGATCATTGCAGAATTGATCTTCACTTTGTCTATAGGTTTGAGCTTGGAACTTACACAATCATCCTTCATCACTTTCCTTACAGTGTAGAGATAATCTTCCAAAGCATTTCTTGCTTCAACTTTCTTTTTGAACTTCATGTCTTGCGCCTTGAAATTCTCGGCCTCCTGGATCATTCTCTCAATCTCTTCTCTTGATAGCCTACCATTTTCGTTTGTTATAGTAATTTCATTTTTATTACCACTGGTTTCTTCCTCTGCAGAAACGTTTAATATACCATCTACATCTATGGTAAAACATAATTTGAGAGGAAGCCCCCGAGGAGCAAGTGGAAGTTTGAGATTAAACAAACCAAGCAAGTTGTTCTCTGTTGAAATAACTCTTTCACCCTCATAAACCTTAATTGGGACTGAAGATTGGTAATCTAAAGCTGTTTCATAATCTTGTGTCTTCTTGAATGGTACAGAAGTATTCCTTGGAATCACCACACTCATAATATCTCCCAGTAACTGGATACCAAGCGACAGCGGTGTAACATCTCGCAGCATCAAAATTGGAACATTCTTACTGCCTTCACTCAACAAAGCAGCCTGTACAGCTGCTCCATAAGCAACAGCCTCATCAGGATTGATGCTCTTGCATAATTCCTTCCCCTCGAAAAAGTCCTGCAATAATTGCTTCACTTTGGGAATCCTAGAAGAGCCACCAACAAGGACAACATCATCTATGCTACTCTTGTCCATCTTAGCATCAACAAGACAACTATTAACAGTGTCAATACACTTTTCGAAGAGGTTCATATTCAATTGCTCAAACTTGGCCCGAGTGATTGATGAAGAGAAGTCAATACCTTGATGTATAACATCTAGGTCGATTGTGGCTTCAGTTTCGTAAGAAAGTGTCCTTTTCGCCCTCTCACATGCGGTTCTCAACCTCCTCAAGGCTTTTGGGTTTCCACTAATATCCTCTTTGTTCTTCCTCTTGAACTCCTTCACAAAATGATTCACCATTTTGTTATCAAAGTCTTCACCTCCTAAATGAGTGTCTCCGGCAGTGGCCTTGACTTCAAAGTCCTTATTTTTAATTGTAAGAATAGACACATCAAAAGTTCCACCGCCAAGGTCAAAGATAAGAATATTTCTCTGATCAACACAGTTAGCTCTCTTTTGAAGGCCATATGCAAGAGCTGCCGCAGTTGGTTCATTGATTATCCGCATTACATTAAGACCAGCAATATCACCTGCATCTTTAGTGGCTCTACGTTGTGAATCATTAAAATAAGCAGGTACAGTAATCACTGCATTCTTAACAGGTGACTCTAAAAACGCCTCTGCAATCTCTCGCATCTGCATGAGAATCGCAGCTGATATTTCTTCAGCAACAAAGTGTTTCTCCTCCCCTTTATGGTTCACAAGGATCAATGGTTTATCATTAGCACCTGCAATAACCTTAAAGGGCCACAGCAATAGATCATTCTGAACAATGGAATCACTATATTTCCTTCCAATTAACCTCTTTGCATCTGCAAAAAATTCATGGCGAGTTTACTTCCTATGTTTCCTATTTTCATTTACATATCAATTAATAGTAATAAACATAACAAAATACAGAAAAACCAGTATAGTAATATTTATAACTAAAAAGTAAACAATGCTAGAACAAGATGATAAATGTATTACCAAAGACAGTGTTGGTTGGGTTGGAGGAAGCTTGATTTTTGGCAGCATCACCAATCAATCTTTGAGTGTTGGTAAAAGCAACACAAGAAGGTGTTGTTTTGTTTCCTTGATCATTGTGTATTATTTCAACACGATCGTTTTGTTCTTGCCACACTCCAACACATGAGTATGTCGTGCCAAGGTCAATTCCGATCGCAACTCCCTCGTATTTCTTGGCCATTCTCTTTCAAGCAAATGAATGATACTCTTTGTAGAGAATATTTGAGTTGATTTCAAACTTTGAAAGAAATATAAAAGCAAAAAGTTAAATTTATATATCTGTGCATATAATTAGAGTCTCTTCGTTATCTGTTCACATTGCATGCGTGTGGAAATTGGGTTGCAAAAAACCGATGTGAGTCTTTTGGGTTGCTCTCATCATTACGGCTCATCATAACGATAAAATATTTATAAGTTATTTCCATTTATAAAAATTATTATAATTTATTAATGTTTATAAGAATTTAATTTTTTATCATATTATAAAATTTTATGGATAAAAAGATAATTTATTTTTTACTATATTATAAATATAGAAATAAAATTTTATTTTTCATTATAATAAAATGTCCTAATAATTATGAGTGAATTTATTTTAATCTCCTGTCAAATAAAATAAATATTCTAACTAATTAAAATAAATATTCTAACTAATTAAAATAAATATTATATAGAAAAAAGAAGAAACATAAAAAATTTATTTATCGTTATATTATAGAATTGTATGAATAGAAATAGAACTTTATTTTTTATTATATTATAAAAATAGAAATAAGATTTCATTTTTCATTAAAATAAAATATTATAATAATCATAAGTGAATTTATTAATGAATTTAACAACATATAAATAAGATAATGAATTATATAAATTACTATAAATAAAATGTATCACTAAAATTAATTTATACTTTATTTAAAATTTAAAGGTGTCTTGCAATTTTAATTTACTTATTTAGAATCAATCTAAGGTCATACCATTTTTTAAATTATTCATTTTTTTTTTAATTTTACATTAGTATTTTTTTTACAATATAGTATTTAAAATTTTGAATTATTTTTTTTAATCTATTATAAAACAATTATTTAATTCTAAGTTATAAGATCAATTTGATTTTTTATTTTGTATTTTGGTTATTAGAGAATAATAATTTTAATAATATAATAATTTTTGTTTTAATATAAATTTATTATTGATATAAAAAATTCTAATTATAAATAATAATATAACATTTATTATTGTAAATATCGGTAGAGAAATAAATAAAAAATTAGATCTAAAAATATCGATAAATCAATTACAATATTAAATTATAATTTAATATTTATTATTATTGATATTAGTAGAAACATAAAAAATTAGATCTAAAGAATATCAAAAGATAGAACACGAAAGAAAAGTGAGAGAATTATTTGTCTTCTTAATTTAAATAAATCATAATGTTTATTTTAGTTAGTTCCATATTCTTATTAGTCCTTTCTATAAATAATTACAAAATATTGTTGATTTTAATTGAAATATAATTAATGAGAAAGATTTTCCTCTCGTAATTCACTTTATGATGTTTTTATCTTTTATTATTAATTTTTTATATAATATATATTTTTTAAAAGGAAATTAATATTTAATTATAATTGTCAGAATATAATTATTAGAATCTTTTGATTTTAAAGATTTTATAGGTTTAATTTTTATATTTGTAACTTAAAAAGTTATAATCGAGTCTTTTATAATTAATTAATAAAAAAATTATCAATGCATATTAAATAAATAATAACTATGAAGAATTATTTAGTTTTCAATTCAATAATAAAATTTTGTTAAGTCTATATTAAATAATAATTTGACCATTGTTATTATAATTAATGTTTAATTGCCTTTAATATCTACGAAAATAAAAAATTAGAATTGAAAACTCAAAAAATTGGGTTCCTCGTAGATGCATTAAAAACTTTCAATCTCTTTGTGACATTTCAGATTAATTTGCTAATATATAATATGTAGTATTGATTTTGATTTCTAATTATGATTTGTGCCTCTTGAGTTTTATTTGAATGCATTGAAGAAGATGAATGCTTCACATGACAAATATAAAGTATAATATTGAATATTATTACTAAATATTCAATATTATAATTTAAATTATTTATAATATTTGAATATGTGAACTAATAAATTATTTTGAATTTAAAATAATTTAGTAATGAGTTTATGACATATAATAATAAATGTTGATATTTTTACCTTTTAGGAAATAATTAAAGTTTATTATAAAATCATTCTTTCTTCTCAAAATCATCAATATTTATTATTAACTTTTTCTTTACTACTATATCTTATTTTTCATCAAATTAAAAATTTTAAAATTAAAATAACTTGAAAAAGTAGAATTCAGATAAACATATTAAATTCTAATATATTTTTAATTTATTCTTTATTATTTTATTTTATTTAACTATTATTTTATAAAGATGTTTTTATTTTATCCATTAAATTGAATTTTAATAGATGAATTAATCTTTTAAAAATAATTTAAGTAAATTAGTTGATTAATTAACTCTCTGATAAAGTTATTATACGTATAATAGTTTCTTTTATCAATATTGACAAATTTTATAATGTAACAACATTATAATTATATATTTTATTGCTAATATTAATGATTTTGATCATTAGATACATTACAAAAAGAATCCATATTTTAAAAGCAAATATTTGTAATAATTTTTTTATAATAAATGCTAATATTTTCTTATAAAATATTATACAAACTGAATTTTAAATTATATTTTAGTTTAATGAATTAAAAAAAAATACTTCATTGAATAGCAGCAACATCTCTAAATAAAATTAGTATATTATATAAAATATTTATCTTCCATTTCATTTTTAGTTTAATTCAAATCTCTCTCTCCAAATAATTTTACAATAAAATAAATCATAAGTACATTATATATAATTTCAGTTTCACATCTCAAATAAATCAAAATCTTCTTTCCAAATCTCATCCCCTAAAATCCAAAACAGAAAGAAAAAAAACTTACAAATTAGATTATATTAGATTAAAATATAATTCATTTTATATGAATTTAATTCTTTTACTATATTTTTTTTTATACTTTTCTCCGCCGATAGGTATAGTATAAATAGATTATATTATATTAGATTAAAAGATAATTCAATTATATTATATTAGATTATATTATATTAGATTAAAACATAATTCATTTTATATGGATTTAACTCATTTTATATAGATTAAAACACAGAAATATGACTGCACTACATTAAAACAAAAGGAATTTTGAAATTGCATCATCTCATAATTCAAACTATTAAGTAAAACTCTTCATTACAATTACAAATACACCTAAAAAATGATCAATTCCAAAGTCTTGAAGTGCTTCATAACAATTCAACGTAAAACCAATTTGACGATTAATTTAGTTCTTAACCACATAAAATATGATTAAATACTTTAATCAATTAATTAGATTAGCAGGAGCAAGATGATCAAGAGCTAAAATACGAATCAAACTATGAAAGCTAACAACACCGTTAACGTCACCACCGTCAAACCTAATCATAGTGTATCTTCATCATTGGCTACTGGCAGAAAAATATATGACATTCCAATTCTCAGCAGCACACATTAATCATTGGCTTCTGGCAGAAAAGTATATAGAATTCCAGTAGCACATATTAGTAAATTACAAACAGGGGATAACAGACCACCATTTGGTCTATCTAATAAGCAGTTATAACAAAGAACACCATAATTATTTAATAGAGCAATAAAAGAAAAGAATTAGAATACAATATAGTACAAAAATGCAGCTGCATCTGCTGCAGTAGCTTCCATGGCCTATAACAAAAAAAATCTAAAATCCAATTAAACAAAACCTATAAAAGTATCAATCGATAATAAAAAAGAAGCAAACACCTTTGCCAAATTTATATCAGAATAAACAGCACCTTCTCAAATTCATTATTTTTTTTTTTTAATTTATTGATCGATTATTGGAATACATTTTGTCTTATTTCGATCACCAAATTAAATATAAATACCTAAAACTTAGCTGTTTGCTTTCAATTGATTAAACACTGGATCAGAAAGATGTATTAAATTAAATTGGTTAATCAAATATTTATAACGTTTCATCAATAGATTCTAACTAAGTGTTAGTGATCAAAACATGTTCCTTAAAATTACTGCACTCACATCTTAGAATCAACCAAAATCATTTCAATATATTTCTTTGCAAAAGATTTAGATTGAAAGGATTCAGATCTGTTTAGAGTATTTCACTTTGCATGCAGATTGTTATTCATTTGGCATATAAACTGTGTTTTGTAGTACCACTACGGCCAGGGAGGACGGGGAAGCCATCAGTAAACGCATGCAGATGGATTGGGATTACCTGGAAGGGGAGGAAGAACGGGCGTTGAAAAAAGGTAAAGCAAAAATGACAGATGAAAGAAACTTTGTGTGGCGAAAGAATTGGCTGTTAGAAGGTCAAGATGGTGGAGGCTCTGAAGAGTTAAAGGGCAACGTCAAGGAAGTTGGTGCTGTCGAAGATCTTAATGTTAACACTTAAGGAGGGAGTGTTGCTGCAGGTTTGAAGGCCAAAAGTGCCCAGGAATACAACGCACCTGTTGTAAAAGATGTTGAGGTGCACGACCAATCTGCTTCCGCCAGGCTGAGCGTGAAAGGTGATGGTGATGGTGATGTTACGGATGATGTTAGACGATTGCGTGTATCGAGAAGGGTGAGCAGAAGAGCAAAAAATAATTCTAAACACAAATCTAAATTTAATTGTTACAGAAGCAATTTGCTGGATAAGTTGTCTAAAAAAAATTTATTGAAAACTCGGATATACAAATTGTTAAAGATAAATCTATGAGACAAAATTGAATAATTGATTAACACAAATTCAATTCAACAATTCACTTATTTATTGTTTGAATACAATCACTTTGCAATGCTATTTCTAAGGATAAATAATCAAAGAACTAATTTGATCGTTTTATCAAAAATTTGGCGTGCAAGTGAATTTTCAGAATTTTTTCTTGAGTAGTGTTGATATCAAAATCACTTATAATCAAAAGTGACTATAAGTGTTCTTGCGTAGGAACACTAAATGAGTAGCTTCCCTATAGGAATATGGAGAGCCTCAAAGG